ATTCAACACAGCAAGCAAAGTGAGTGTATTTGAACATTTAGCTATGACAATAAATCCAGTTTGCACTATTTAAACACGCCTTTAGAATATTTTAGACTTAGATAGAAAAATGTCTGAAAAATCATAATTAATAATTTCAATTATTTATATTTTAAAAGAGAAAGTTTTCTTGGATTGTTTAGTAACAGATGTGAAAGCAACAAAGGGACACTGGGGGAAAAAAATCCATTTAGTGAATGAAGCTTTTTGGACACTACTTGTATCTTATTTTACAATAACAAAAAAATCAAATAGGATGCAGATGCTTTGACATTTGCATGCATATTACTAACAYTAAAATTATATRYAAAAAAATCATAATAAAATCGTAAAAGTGAATCAGAAAATTATTCAAACTAACCCACTTATTGCAACAACCTCAATAACCTWTCTCCATCTTCTATCTGAGCAACGTGCAAATTTGTTTACCACGATGCACAAGCCTCAGTGCAACAAAAAGCCATTTTTAGGTGAATCATACCAGATGACTGTCAAGCCTGCCAAAGCAGCAAAGCCAACCAAAACAGGCTCACACAGAAGGTGGCCACCTGGCTTTTGGTGTGACGGAGTGGCTCTCAGTTCCACAGAAGCAGTCTTGTTGTCAGCTTTGGTCCCATGCAAAATGCTTTAGATGTGAGAATTTTGTATTATAATATATTTTTTAAAAATTCACAAAGGGTAACTAGTTTACCTATGCAGGATGACTTGACAGCTTAAAAGTGGGAGTTGATTGCCATGCAGGTTCTAAACAAAYGGCTACTCATCAGTGGATGATAACCACTTTTCATGCGATCACTGGTTATCATGATGGTCAGTTTCATGGACAGACTGTGCCGGGACACATCGGGGCAACRTTTTGTCAACAATCACAAATATTTCTTTTTTTAAATTAATGAACTTRGACCAGCTTGGACACCATGAAACCATTTGAATCAAGGAAAACCTTGATACCCAAGCCTCCAGCTCCAGATTTTTCTTGATCGGTATTAGTAAAACATGCGCTACTGCTCTGATTTTAAGAAGATTTACTATGAAGCGATGCARAGGAGGAAGAAGGACTGAGTTATAATGAAACAGGGCTGCAAAAACAGGACTACATCCAGTCAGGGGCACTGAAGTCAGTGTTGTTTTCAGAGTTTTTCATGAACTGCGATGAGGAGACTACAGAATGTACAGATATACTGCATGTGTACCTCTGTTGTTCTATTCACCATCATCTACAGAGTCAGCCAAAAGAGGAGAGAATTGGCAGTTAGTGAGAAAAAAAAAGCAAAACAAACAAAAACAAAACAAAAAAAAACAATAAAATAAAATGTAAGAAAAGGATGAGCAGAGAGGAGTGAAGGAAGTCAGTTTGAAACAATTTAGCAAAATCAATTAAGATTTGAAGTCTCTGTTGTGGGAGAGTTCAAAATTGACATTAAAATTATTTCCCAGAATCACACTGCACACAAACTAAGTCTAGTGCAGGGGTCTGCAATCTTTACGATCAAAGGAGCCATTTCTGCTCCTTGTCTCACTAATAAAATGTGTCCAGAGCYGCAAAACAAGCTACAACTGTGATTAAAAACTGGTGGTCCGCGGGCCTTTTCGAGGCCTTTTTGGGAACATTTATGGTCAGTGGAGGAGACATTATAAAACTAAAGGAATACTGTTAATATTATTGTATTATTATTTATTATTATACACATCAGAACAAATAAAAATATGATGTTCATGTAAACAAGAAAATACTGCATATAGTTTATACCAAATTTCATAAAAACTAGTACAACTGAATTATTTAGGTGTATTTATTTTCTAATTGTTAATATTATGTAGTCTTCAAATTCTTTAAAGGTAATTCTGATGGATTTGAGAGAGAGAGAGAGAGAGATCATAGAAAGAAAATGGAATCTTTAAGTAAACAACAGGCTAGCATGAGCTAGTATTGATCACATACAAATTTATTTCTGTTGGGAGTATAAAAAAAACAAATTTTGTTATGTTATTTGGTCACATTTTCAAAGAGCCACTGCAGAAGGACCAAAGAGCCACATGTGGTCCCAGAGCCACAGTTTGCAGACCCCTGATCTAGTGTCAGTTTATTTATGAGTAAAATTACTAAACATGCACTTTTGATCAGTCCTCCTTTCTGCAAGATTTGAAAGATTTTAAYGACAAAAAAAGAAAGTAAAGAAACAACCAAAACAGATGCAAAAAAAAAAATCAGTCAGCTGTGTTCAAAGAAAAGTTCAACAGAGTTTTTAAAAAGTGACCAACTGACGGCCCACCATCACGGCTGGACTTCAGCGGCACTCACCTTGGACTCAACATCAGCGTTGTGGTCGTTCTGCAGGAGCAGGGCCGCGGCCTTGGTGTCGTCCTTGCGAGCAGCGATGTGCAGGGCAGGCAGACGCACCTTGCCCTTTGTATCGTTCTCCAGCAGCAGGGAGACCACCTGGTCATGGCCCTGCTGGAGGGCCACTGCCAGAGGGGTGAAACCATCCTGCGTACGAAGGGAGAGAGAAGTCACGAAAGACGAACGAGGAAGTGTAAGTAATCATGTAAAAAAGAATATAAACAAATGAGGGATGACTCCAAAGTTATGCACAGTACTGTAAATGATAAAACACCTGGAAAAAAAAGTTACGTAAAAGCTTAGCTTTTTTTACGTGAACTCCCTTCTTAGAAGAATGTGAAAACCACTGATTTCAACTGAAAGTGACATTCTTTTTTTTAATTAAGAAGATTTACAGTAAAATATTAAAATAAATGACAGGTTGAACTGATGCCATTTATWACAATTTTAGTTCTAATTTAGGAGATGTTGGGATTATGTTTACTTAAARGAGACATATACTTTTAAATCTTTCTTTTTCACATTTAAATCATTCAGTCGGGGTCTATATATTTTGTTGTGATGCACGTAACAGGTCTCTCTTGTTAATGAGACAATGAGTCTCAAGAGATTTTCCTGTAGAAATAAAGGATAAATAAATAAAAATAAAATATATAAAAAGGAACTGCAATGACTCAGTGGGAATTCTAAATTTACAAGCCCATCTTTTCTCCCTTTTCTGAGGTGTGTCTCAGATAAACTCGTTTTGACGCTGTCCCTTTAGTTACAAATGAGACGCTTCACACTCTGCTCCTCTTCAGCTTCCAGAGCGGTACATTCTAGTTTGATGGAGGGGTTTACGGTTATATAGCGGCGCAGAAAAGTTTTATTTACAAAATAATTAAAATACGTCAGCAACAGAAGACTTGTACATCCAGCCTTAAGAGCCGAGTCTGAACCAGAGCCAGAGGAGAATTAAAATGACAAAATTGTAGTTGGTAAGTCTAGACCTTATCTAAATGTTTGACGTAAAATTTCAGAAAACAAACRGGTTAAAAAGTACGACCCAAACCGGATAAATTATATCTTTGGAGCACCGGGAGAAACTAGATTAAATTGTTTTGCACTCCTAGAGACTCCAAGTACACAACAAAATGCATTTAATGGCTAAAAAAGTAGATTTTGCATAATATGTCCCCTTTAAACTTTTATACTAAAAGACATATCAGCCTACATGAGTAAAAATTTGGTGCTCTGGGCATAAACATGCTGAATCCCATTGACAAATTATCTTTATTAAAAAAAAACCCTATACAAATTTTTATCTACATATTATGAAGGGAGTCCTGGTTTCTGTCCTAATCTGTGTTTGGATATGTATGCAAGATAAATGCACAAGGAAAGACTATCCTGTGTTTTAGCATGTAACCCACATTTGTAAACCAGTGAACTGTGACCTGGTTTGGGTTCTGTATCATCCCTATAAGCTATTTATTTTGTACATACATTATATTCATGCATGTGGTGACCGGTAAGCATTACAATGAGTTCCATAGATTGAGCAGTGTAAATCACAGGAGCAACGATGGAGGAGAAGGAGGCAGCAAGCAGAGCGGACCTCATCTGTGACCAACTCAAGGTCACTCTGCCTCCACCAACACACACAAACCAATCAATGAAGCCCGGCCCAGGCCCTCGTGAGCAGACAGGAGGGGGAGAGGACAAAGGGAAAGGCAGAGTGACAACGTGAGACAGAGGGAATGAGCAAAAAGACAAGAGGACACAGAGATGAGACAGGTGTAAAGTGAGTAAAAGTGGGGGATGGGGGATTGAAAGGAAGTAGGGAAGGAAACAAAGGAGGACAGGAGATGAACGTGGTTAGTACTGATGTAAAAACACACATGACTGAGGCTAATGCATGGACGTACGTATAATGTGGCTTCAGAGAGGTAGGCACAGAACTACAGCATATACACAGACATTTGAGAGGAAGGATGAGCACAACTGTACTCTACCTCTGTGGCGATGCTCTGGCTGGCGCTGTTCTCCAGTAGGAACCGAACAACCTCCAGGTGATTCTCCTGGGCTGCCATGTACAGAGGAGTGAAGCCATTCTGCACACGGCAAGGACCAAAACAGAGACAGTTTCAAACAAAACTCACAGGTACTTACAGTTTTCCTATTGTCAGCGCTTGGATAATCAGAGGATCAATTACTTTAACTCGTTTTTTTAAAATAATCCACATCAAGGATGACCCTAGCCAATTTAGCACCCAAGACATGATATCACGTGGTCCCTGAGCACCAGTAGTTAGTCTCAACTGCATCCTGTGATACCAGCGGACCAAACCAAAAGAACAAATTACCTTCACAAACTTGAGTAACCAGTAATTATTCTACAGATTAAATCAACTATATTCATATAAAAAGTTTAAAATATTGTTTTTCGTCCCTTATTTGTAGCGCCTCCTAGATGGACAGCACTCTTAGCATTTGCCTATAATGCCTATGCCCCGGATCGCCCCCTGGTCCACCTGATAAGTTTTAGAAAGTAAGAGAAAAAAAAAACGTTAGCTTTTTCAGACATTTTGTTAAACATTCGTCAACACCAAAAATCTCCCCTCCCTATCTTGATCTGACAAAGTTAAACGTAAGTGGCACCGACAGCAGTTTCCAGGAGAGGCCCAGTTGGAACTGTGCCAGAAAACATCTATTTGCCAAGTGATTCCCTCAGTGTCACTGACTTCTTGATGGACTATCACTCTAATAAATGGGCGCATCCCAGTCGTGCATTCAGTCTGTTGTGTTCACTTCAAGCTGTAAAAGCAGACCAACAGGACTCAGGTGATGTTCTGATTTTAGGTGTGTGTGTGTGTTTGTGTGTGTGCATGTGCTGAGTGTATCCCACCTGTGATTGTGCGTTGACATTGGCTCCATTAGTGACCAGCTCTTTGACGACTTCCCCCTGGCCGGCCAGTGAGGCTATGTGCAGAGCAGTGTTTCCTTTCTGGATTACACAGAACAAGCGAAATGATGAATGTTAAGCTCTGCTCCACCTGTTCCAACATATTACTTGGGTATGAGTGTGTGACTTTTTGCCACTGCAGCCTGTATATAAATATCAGGAGTGAATCCCATTGCAGGTCACATGATTAAACTGCTCTGGCTCTAATATCCCACTGCCCACACTGCCAACAATGTGTCACTTCCGATCCCGGCATCCCGAATAAATGAACCTCTGTTCTAAAATAAAACTAGAGGAAGTTCTTCGATGAACCTGTACGGGTCAGTGTGAAGGCAGAACTCACCCTCAAGTTGTCCTCTGGCTCAATGTTACAAGGTTTACTGAGACTTTTTTTGTTCATTGTTTTCTGTAGCAATGGAATTAGACAGGTCTGATACTCAAAGCAGAAAAGAAAGACAAGACACAGCTGTGACCTATTTATACCCCCCAAAAATGTAAAATTTATCTTTAGTTGTTTTCACATCATCTGTCATGTACAACAAGTTATCTATAAATAATTAATGTGATGCAACAATTACGTACTAGTTACAATTTACCAATTTTACTTCAGATGAAAAGGTTTAAACCGTGCTTTCCGACTTAATATTTGCTGAACATTATCTGAAGTCGAAAGCAGAAAAATTGAGAACAATTTGTGTTCTTGAATTTAAAAAATCTATTAAATTTAGAATTAACAAGTAGCAATGTCCTCATCATTTAGTCTTTGAAATCAAATAAAACAAGACACAAAGCAGCACAAACTGGTTTAACCTCTTAGGCCCCAAGGGTTTTTCTTGATGTCTTTGCTCAAAATACCATGCTTAAATGAGTGTATCTCAGCATTTACAAACTCTACTTAAATAATCTTGGTATCAACATAAAGCTAACACTTGGGAGATTTTTTTATCAGAAATGTAAGTATTAAAACAGCTGCTCTTGTTTTAGAGATATTGAGGATGTAACACAATTTTTTTTTACATTTTTTCCCCTCCTGTCTGAATAATTTTTGCATTTGACAGTATTTAACCCATTTAAAACCATAATAAATCAGGCTAAAAACTATTGGAAACCATAAATCCACTTGTGGACATTACCTGTGCAAAGATTCATGCTGTTAAAATTAACTGGAGCAAAGTTACAGAGGTTTTAGTAAAGGAATCTTAAGTTTTTAATTGCAAAAGTTGTTTATTTTTTCTTACCTGCATTAAAAGACTTGTTACTGAATGTTTGTTCTTTTGAAAAATCATCCAAACATATTTTGTCACCATATATATTATACTTTATAAAATAATGAGAAATTATATTTGACTTCAGTTGGATCATATTCACTCAAGATCAAGTAAAAACAAAAAAAAAATAAAAATAATAACTTTCAATACAGATTACAAACTATTTTGGTATCTGCTTTAACTTACTTTAAAAACAAATGTCAAAATTTTTTAACAGATTTGTTGTAATGTATTTACAGATTTGCAACAATCCCATTTTGCATAGTTTGTTTACTTTCTGATTCAACTGCCTGTCATTTGAACTGTGTTTGGTGGATGGAAATATACAGTATATATTACATTAGCTTTTAGCCAAGATTCTTAGCTTTCTATTGATGTCAAACATGTCAATGTTCAACTGACAGATCTTAAGTTAACAGAAGTTAAAAAGATATAGAAAATGGGAAATGCTGTTTTGGGGCATGTGGCTCAAAAGGTTAAACCTACATTAAAATGTACACCTGTATACATTCCTAAATTTAAAATGAGCTACAACCGAACAGGAAGAAGACAAATTCTCTTGATCAACTAAATGTCAGACATTTAACTATGAACTCAATGGTCTCAGTGCTAAGCTAAAACCTCTACGGCCATGTTTCCTCACAGTGTCTTCCATAGCTGCTTAACATAAAAATGTCTGACACCATTAAAATTCAGTCAATAACCAAAATAATCCCTCAGCATCCTCAGGGTCACATCGCTGTGAGCTTTTAATTGGGGAGTTTCCCCTTGATCTTAAATATTTTATTCTGCCGTGTGTTTGTGTCAGCACCAGGCATGTGGCCCAAGGGCTGCGAGGCTGAAACAGGCGACTACATCAGAGTGGAAGCCTTCGAGGTACAAATATGAATATTATTTGAAATGGTTCTGCTCTTTTTTTTTAGCATTTAAATATAAAAATATGTCCCTGGGAGAGGCCTTCCTTTTCTGAAATCTCTTCTTATACTGAGTTTGTCCTGTTTTGTACATTTTATGGATTTCACATTATTAGACTGCACTGAACACATTACTTTTCCATGATAATGTTTGCAAAAGCAAGCCCTAAAGGGGGTCATTAATTATCAATACCATGTTAAACCAAAACAAAGGCTGCACACTTTACCAACACAGTCTTGCTGCAGCTGCATGCTGTTTATTACATAGGCAGCCATCTTTTGTCCTGAATCTAAATATAGTTTTTAGTAACATCAGTAGGGCCGTGATCAGGTGCGTCTTACCTTTGTGGCTGCATCCACAGCGGCTCCAAGCTTCAGCAACTCAGCAACAACCTCCACATGCCCCTCTTTGGAGGCCAGATGAAGAGCGTTCAGGCCATTCTGGGGAGGAAATATAGTTTGGTAAGTTGGACCAGCTGTTTTACAAATTTGCGCAGTTAAGAGAATAAAAATATGATTTCAAAGATTAAGTAGTTTTTTTTCCAATTAGATGAGATACTTAAATATTACAGTTTTGTGGCGACTTTCTCAAAACTCACCTGATTGCAGATGTTAATTTCAACTCCAGACTTGAGGTAGTCAAGGACTTTTTCAAGGTTCCCTGCCCGGGCAGCTCGCAGGTAACTGGCATTGCTATCAGACTAAAGAAAGAGAAAAAATAAAATGAAAACAGGAAGAGAAGAGGGGAAACAAGAGGTAATTTGAGATAAAGAACAAACTGTCTCTGTTAAATGAAGGGGATGGACAATAATATAACTGTACCAGGTAGAGCTCTGTCATAGTTTCTCAGACACCTAAAAACATCTTGATGAGGTGGAAAACAAAGCTAGTGTCCACAAATATCCAAATATCTGGATTGTGTTTTGACATAAAACACATTCCAGATGAATCTGTTCAGAATGACAGGAAGTCCTCAAGCCAAATGCTCCGAAACACGTCATCCCAACAATTCTCTCCCAGCATCCATCAAATCCCACACGTCCGTTGTGTCAGCTTTGTTAAATCCAAATGTCTCCTTTTCCTCGGCGTTGGAAGTTCAGCGAGCGGGTGGTCCTCACAGCTGCCACGGAGCCCTCCTCTTTTCCACAGAGGTCTCTGCTGCAGCCACCAGTGAAACCGTTTTGGACAGACCGTTGCTGTGTTATGAGAGAAGCAGCGCACCTTCTATTCTGCTTGGCTGTCCTTTATTCCACTACAGAAATAGAGCTTTGCACACCAAAATAAAAAGTRATGAGGTAAGCATGTTTTCTCCCCCTGTTCCAAACGTTATAGCATGAGGGAGAGGGGGAAAGAAGGAGGAAGAGGCTAAGCGGAGGATGAGAGGAGAAAGGACAAGTACAGGAGAAAAGCTAAGAGGGTATGACACGGAGGTACTTTTTTCTCTCTGTTTTTGTTTCTTGGACATCAAATTTGACATAAAATGACATTTGGCAAACTCTGCGTATTTTCTTTATTCCTTCTACGTGCCATAAGGGGAATAAAAACTAGTATGGTAGAGCTCAGAAGGGAGAAAAACAGAAGCCTCAAACCCGCATTCCTCTGAATTATCAAAATCCCAGACCTGCTAAATTTAGCCTTGTACCCAGAGAAGCTCAGCAGGACTAAACTATTCAATCGGTCTGATCCAAAGTTAGGTTCTTCCCATGCACCATCTGAGTTCTGAAATAACTCGGGCCCAAAACACTAAAACGTGACTAAATAAGTCCTCCAACATCAGATTGTTTCACCGATGTTCTGTAAATACTACAGCACGAGGTAAAGACTCATCTCTGTTCATGCAGGCATGTGTGGAAAAACTAATTAATAACAAATGAAGCCTTGTTAACTGGAAGCCCAGTCATTTCCTGATTACAAGAAACCATTAGGCTTATTCTCATATCCCTGCAGCCAATCAGCTCATATCTATGCTTTTTTTTTCTTCCTTTTTCCATGTCCTCAACTCTCGCTGGACTGTCTGATAGCCCTGAACTGCTAATGATAGTTSTGCTCTTGCAGACGTAAATCACATGAATTGACTGAAACCGAACCAACAGGCTCTCCAAACAGCTAAATAAGAAGCAACAGTTACAGGAAATTTGTAACCAATTAATAATGACATGAAACAATCAAAAATAACTACAATAAAACATTTAAAGCTAAGAATTCAGGAACCCATCAACAAAACTTATACGTAAGTATCAATTGTCTAAATATTTTATTCTCCAAAACAAGTTAGCAACAATGTGGATAATAAGAGTTCTGCAGAGAAAGTGCAAGTGGACTCACAGACAGCTTAAATAAGAACATTAGGACACACATACCAAGAATTAGTGCACTTCATTTCAACCTGTTAAAACTTTAGATTGACAGATTTTACCCAATAATATTTAATGGCATGCATTTTTGGATTTTTAAATGGATTTCTCAAGCTTTTTACAAGTAATTAAAAAATGCTGTTGTTCATTTTCACATTAATGTTTTAAGACAAAGTTAAGGCTGGAATGAGCAACACTGCAAATAGGTGAGCATAATGGCAAGGCTTTGGAAGCTACAGAAAAAACGAAAAAGAAAACTGAAGAATATGTGTGTGGACTGGGAAGKGTAATGAGTGATCAAAAACAGGTGTGTTGATTACAAATGAAAGACAGGTGAGTGTGGAGCTGGAAACTATAGGATAGCTACATCTAATGGTTAAGATACAAAATCAGCCAAAAAAAGTAACTCCTCTAAACAGAATGAAATCACAGAAAATCTTTGAGGGATTGGCACAAAACAGAAAAACTAAAAATTCTCAACAGTTCCAAGGCAGAGGGTATAGAGATTTATATGAAATAGATTGCAACATCTAATTCAATGTAATATTGACGATGATGATGATGATGCCTTTATTGTCATTGTATGGAGCACAATGAAATTACATTTAAGATGTGATAATTAAATGCTGCTGCTTTGTTTATTGAAAGGTGTCTTATAATGTTTGCTCATATCAGAAACTGAAAACCTTTAGTAGAAACTCTTCTATATCTAAAAGAATAAAGGTCTAAAAACACCTGATGTATTTCTAAGAATGACACTTGTTCACCCCAAAGATCCGGTGCCCCGGCACAAACAGAGCAATGTTGTATATGCTGTTAAGTGCCAGGAGGACTGCGACCAGTTATACATCGGGGAAACAAAGCAGCCACTGTTCAAAAGAATGTCCCAACACAGACGGGCTACGTCTAATGGCCAGAACTCTGCAGTTTTCACTCATTTACAGGCCAGCGATCACTCTTTCAGAGATGAGGATGTTCTCGTTCTTGATAGAGAGGAATGTTGGTTTGAGAGAGGAGTAAAAGAAGCCATTTTTGTGAAGAAAGACCGTCCATCATTAAAAAGAGGTGGAGGCCTCCGTTTTCAGTTGTCCCCCTCCTACAGTGCTGCTATTGCCAGTATCATTCTACCCCTGTTAACAATAGGTGTTAATTAGGTGTCAACGATAGCCATGTGATGTGAGTATCAGTCCCATGGAGGCAGTGCTTAAAAGCCTGAATTTTGCCTGAAACTCTCAGACTGAAGAAGTCTCTTGGAGGAGAGATGAAATGTTTCATTAGAGAAGAACCCGTCCAGAAGACCTACACAATTTTTTTTTTCTTTTTGATTTTTTACCTGGATTACTGAGATGCATCAGGACAGACACTTGTTTTGTAAGGATTTTTTTTWAAAAATCCCACTCTATGCTCCTTGCTTCTCTAAATATATCTCATCTATATCCCAGCTTTTCACTGTTTTCCCCCTTAATGCCTGTAATAAAGTCATGAGACCAATTTGTCCATCCTTTGATTCAGGCTCTATCTACATCCAAAACAAGGGATCTTGGAGCCTTTGTGAATTATTACAAACAGCGGGGGACGACGCAGATCAAATGTCAAAGAAAATGGTGCTTTCTAAAATGAGGTTAAGCTTGATGGAAAGTATTAATCTAATGTTAGATAGAAGGGTGAGGGTAAAAGACAAATCTGACTTAAGGAAAAACTGAAAGAAAATTATTAGGATAAAGCTGTATCACAATTTAGTATCACAGACAAAGAAACAGGTCTTTGGGGTATTTTCAACAAGAAAAAACATATTTGACAGACACTTGACATTTGAGTGCAGCTGATGATCACAACTTAGATAAGATAAAATAGAAATGTTCACAGATGTGTATGAAAGCTAAAATATTGTTTTTAATACATATTTTTTATGAATTGAACTGCCTGTGCTCTCTAATGTGCAGGTTTTTATGCTAATTGTGTGAATTATTTATTATTATTTTTATACTAAAAAATCTACTTTAAGTTGGTACAATTTWTGTGGCTCCTGTAGTCTAAGAGTAATTTCTGCTGATTTGGATGTGAGAAGTTGCTTCACAGCTTCTGCTGAAGCTGTACTTGGTGCCTTTTCTCTTTATGACATCAACACAGAAACAGTCAGGACGGATTTCCTTTTTTTTGTTGTTGTTTTTTAAAACCGACACCCCTGATGGACAAACTTATGTGAACTCGTTACTTATTTAGTAAAAAATCTGCATGTTGTTTTGTGATTTTTACATAAACGGATGTCCATGCAAACATGAACACATGTTGATGTCATAGCTGTATGAGCTGAGGGAGCTTAGAAGAGGACAACTGGACCAGCAGCAGCTGTATTGTTTAACTTTATCCCCTGCTCTTCTGACAGCACAAAAGCTCAGAGCTCCACAGATCTGACAGCACAAAGCCAGAGGCACTGAGTCATGGACCACAACAGCACAAAAACAACAACAACAACAAAAACTTTGGCTCAGATACTCCCATGTCCTCTTGATATGACTAGATCTTCACGAAATCTAGATTTCCCTAGTCCTTTTCACATTCCTTCTAAATGACCCCCAAGGCCTCATGCTTTCTGTTTTTAAGGCTAAGGTTAAATATGATGTATATAAATTAATTTATATAAGAACATTATGATGATAATAATAAGAAGAAAAATATTCAGTTTTTTTCGCCTGTTAATAAACAATACAATAAAATAATCGGTGTGAACACGTCAACGGCAAGATGGAGATATCAATTAATTTAAAATGGAATATTCTTATTATTTCAAGCATAAAATGTCATTTTTAAAACTCTCCGTGCCCTATAAATGCAACATGTCATCCATGACTCTASGTTGTTATATGCTCAGCAACACCTTTCACTACATGTTGCAGGAAGCTGACAAAAAGCAGACGCATGGTTCAGTGTTTCCAATTTCCTAAAGAACWGCACAAAGATCTGAAGGAGAAAATGAATGAATCCACTAATGAGCAACTGAGCGAGTTCCTTCCTGCACATGTGCTTTACGCACAAATGTGTTGTTATCACTCAGTGGTTGTGGCAGCAACCTCCCCGAAGCAGCTCGACAAAAACCTCCCACTAATGCATCGCTGAAGTATTTCCTGTCTCTTTTTTTTATTTCCTAATGAAAGTTGCAAGTTACAGCTGCGCACACTCCAGTATGTTATTTTTAAACAGTTTAGTGCACAAACACATTTAGTTTCATTTTTAAAGAGTGGCTGGAAAGTTATTGCACAGGGGAATGAAAACCCTTGTCTGTTAGCTTAGCAAAGAAACAAGGAAACACTGGTTTCAACCATAAAGAAATCCATCTCTAAAGAATA